TGGCCACTTATGACGCAGTGGACAAGGCCATCGCTCTGTCTGTTGGGGAGATCCAAGCCCCCGACGAGGAGCCCACGACGCGTGGCTTCAGGTGCGATATAAGCGAGATTTATATGATGGGAATATGACATACTCATGATTGATTCGCTTTGTGCTTCAGCTGGAGGACGTTGTGGGCGTATGCAGGCCCGGGCTGGCTCATGAGCATCGCGTACGTGGATCCCGGCAACTTGGAGAGCGACTTGCAAGCTGGTGCATACGCTGGATACCAGCTCACGTGGGTTTTGTTTGGTGCAACAGCAATGGGTTTATTTCTACAAGTGCTGGCTGCTCGTTTGGGTGTTGTCACGGGCAAGAACTTGGCTGAAATGTGCACCGCGGTGTATCCTCGCTGGGCATCGTTGACGTTGTGGATCATGACGGAGATTGCAATTGTTGGGAGTGACATTCAAGAAGTATTGGGCTCATCTATTGCGTTCCAGGTTCTCTTTGGGTTCCCCCTCTGGATAGGGTGTCTGATTACGGGGTTCGACACCTTTACGTTCTTATTACTGCATCGTTACGGTATCCGTAAGCTCGAAGCTTTTTTCGTGTCTTTAATCATCGTCATGCTGGTGTGTTTCTGTGCCAACTTGGTACGCGGAGAAGTCGCATCAGAAGATGTTCTGCGTGGCTTCGTGCCTCGTGTGGATCGCTACGCAGTGACACAAGCCGTGGGTATCTTAGGTGCTGTAATCATGCCCCACAACATCTTCCTGCACTCTGCACTGGTCCAAACTCGACAAGTGAATCGACATGACGGACGTAAGGTGCGTGAAGCCAATAAGTACTTCGCAATCGAGTCTGGCTTCGCATTGTTAGTGTCCTTTCTCATCAACTTAGCAGTGCTGGCAGTCTTCGCAAAGGGGTTCTTTTCTTCAGACTGTACAACGTCATACGACACAAATGGAGTCAACACAGCGTGCGTTCCAGGCGCGATTGCCAGTGGAGATACATACGGCTATTGTCAATTGGCAAGCGGAGGAGAGGGAATGTGCCAGGAGATTGGCTTGTCTCAAGCCGGCGTTGCACTTAGCGGGATGCTGGGTCAGTATGCGGATACTATTTGGGCTATCGGTCTATTGGCGGCTGGACAAAGCTCCACGATGACGGGAACGTACGCAGGTCAATTCGTTATGGAAGGCTTTTTGCAGCTCCACTTGTCACCGTGGAAGCGTGTGGCGTTGACTCGATGTGTGTCTCTCGTTCCTGCCATGACTGTAGCCATCTTGAGTCAGCAAAACCCCGCAGACAGCGACCACATGGACGAGTTACTCAACGTGTTACAGTCCATCCAGTTGCCATTCGCGTTGCTCCCAGTGCTGATCTTCACCAGTTCTTCTGAAATAATGGGCGACTTCGCGAACAGTAAAGCTACAGTCGTGACGGGCTGGCTGCTTGGAGGGCTGGTGTGTGTGATCAACTTGTACTTATTGTTCACGAACCTCGAAGGACTCGCACTCGGTGGCATTGGAATCGTGGCGCTGGGAGGCACTTGCTGTCTGTACTTCGGCTTCTTAGGATATCTCGTCCGTGCCGACATGACGCTGTCTGCTCAACGTGCACGCACTGCCTCCAGCTCACGACGCATATCGCAAGATGTTGAGTGCTAGAAATGCCACTAAAAACTGCAATTTTAATAGAGAAACGACGCTTTCTGCCTCTGTACGTGTAATAAATGATAGGAATTGCAAGATTCACTCGGCGTAGTTGCGTCCGTACGTCTCGACGCGTCTTTTTCGACGTCTCATGGCCTTCTTGGCCGTGTTTTTCCATACTTTCAGTAGCTTCTTGGCTTTGTCCTGCACTTCGGGTGACTCTGCGCGTCTCGAGAGTCTCGTGAGCGCGACGCCGATGCTCGTCTTCTCCAACATCTCGAGCGATATGAAGAGCTGCTCTAGCGCACCCAGGATGCTCAGCATGTTGGCAGCAGTTTTGGCGCCGTCTAGCTCCTCTTTCAGGTACTGTACGCGCTCCTCTGACACCACTTTGTGGCCGTGGTGGATGGTGGTCTGTCGTTGTCGCTTCTTCTGCGACGCAGGCGGCGCTGCATCCGCTAGAGATTCCGCCAACGCCGCCGCCGCGTCCCCACGCAACACATAATCATCCATGCTTGACCAATTTGATCATTCTGGTGTATGGCTTCACTTTGAAGTGCACCACATCAGCTGTTTGCGCATTCGCGAGCTCTCCACCAATCACATCACGCTAACTTTACAAATAAAAATGGAGCAAACGTTACCTACACTTATAAATCCATTCTCCGTCCCACAAAGCCTGTCGAGGACGTGCGTGGCTTACGGCCCCGCATGTTCAACGTCATTATCCATTTGACCAAGTACTGCTCAAGTTAAGGCTCTATAACTTTATAATGTCGGGAAAGACCTACAAGATCGCGGTGCTGCCGGGCGACGGCATCGGCCCTGAGGTGTGCGACCAGGCCGTGCAGGTTCTGCAGACTGTGGGCGAGCTGTTCCAACACCAGTTCGCCTTCACCACTGCGCTGTGCGGTGGCGCTGCCTACGAGGAGCACAAGACGCACCTGCCGCAGTCGACGGTGGACACGGTGGCAGCCTCGGACGCTGTGCTTTTTGGCTCGGTGGGCGGCCCCACGGACGCGCAGGAGGACCCCAAGTGGAAGGACGCCGAGAAGAACTGTCTGCTCGGTCTGCGCAAGAACTTCCAGCTGGCTGTCAACATCCGACCGGCTAAGATCTACTCCATGCTGCCGGATCTGTCGCCTCTCAAGCCTAGTATCATCGCGAATGGCGTGGACATGGTCATTGTGCGCGAACTCGTGTCCGGAATCTACTTCGGCGAGCACAACACGAACGGCGACACGGCCACGGACGTCATGAAGTACACGGAGGCCGAGGTGCGACTGCAACGTAATATCAGAGGTTTAAGCGTGGCGTCTCATGATCTTATGTATTATTTGTGACGATCAGATTGCCAAGCCCATGCGATTCGCCTTCGAGACGGCCATGAACGTACGATATTTCCGTTATATTGAGGATGAACTAGTGCTGACTTTACTGATACTCGTATCCTGCAGCGTTCCAAGCGTCTGACTGTCGTGGACAAGGCCAACGTACTGGACTGCAGTCGTCTGTGGCGCAAGGTCGCCAAGGACGTGGCCAAGGACTACCCGGAGGTGCAGTTCGACTTCATGTAAGAGAGGTTAATCTTTTGGTTAAGGACCATCATTCTGACAATCACTCTACTATAGGTACATTGACAATGCTGTGATGCAGCTGATCCGCAATCCGTCGCAGTTCGATGTGATCGTCACTGGCAACATGTTCGGCGACATTCTGTCGGACGCGGCGTCGGTGCTGCCTGGTTCGCTGGGTCTCATGCCGTCGGCCAGTCTGGGTGACAAGGTGCACCTGTTCGAGCCTATCGGTGGCTCGGCCCCCGACATCGCTGGCAAGGACTTCGCCAACCCGATCGCTCAGATCCTGTCGGCTGCGCTGCTTCTGCGCTACTCGTTCCAGATGGAGACGGAGGCTCAGCTTATCGAGAAGGCGGTGGAGCAGGTGCTGCTGGACGGCGTACGCACGGGCGACCTGACCAAGGACCAGGCGGCTGTGGTCGGCACCAAGGCGATGGGCGCAGCTATCATTGCCAAGATGAAAGCCCTGCGTCAATAAGAATCCGTCCATAGCGATAGATTTTTTTGCCGCTTTAATTGAAGGCACGTAGATTTTTTTTTCTGTTGTGGAGTTCATATTTTCTATGGTTTAATAGTGTTGTTTCAAACTAAAGTTACGGTATCTATTGGCGGAGTCGACGAGTATTTGATGATTTGGAATGACTTCCGAACATTCTTGCTATCCATCGTTGAAACCATTGCAGGACGCCGTTGTTATTGTACTTGGTCACCGTCACCATTCTGCTGTCTTCATCTTTCTTCTTGGGCATCGTGGGGGTGTTTCCTGCGGCATTTCCTCCTATCACAGCAGCCGCTCCGCGTTCTTCAATTAGTGAGTTTTCATTTGACTCACGATGTTTCTTGTGCTGGTTAAGTTTGATTTCTTCAAACGAGAGCAACTTGCGAACAGTGTCAGATGGTGCGACTTCGTTGCTGTGGGAGGCGATACAATTCAAGCTTGCAAGCAAGATAATCATGGTAACTATCACGACTTGAACCAGACGCATCTTGAGAAGACCGACACACTCGTCGGGGTTAATTTGTTAGCGGATGCAAATTCTGAAGTGGTTTCTGAAGATTGTCTTCTGCGAGGTACGGGTGTATACGGCATAGCGCCGTCCTAAGCGTCAAGCACAAACATACCTGTACAGTTCGCTGCACAGAGTCTCACAATCGTGGCGTAGGATATCCTACCCAGATTCTGGGTGGGCCACCAGTGGTGCTGGCTGTTGTCGTTTGATGGAAGACAACGGACACACCAGTGAATCACTGGCAGTGATTACGGTCCTACTCCCCCAGCTAGGATCATCCGATCCCGAGATCTCGTTGTGGGAAAGCGAGAAGACGATGGAAGGCGGAACGTCCGAACGTCGGAACACGAGCAAGCCTGGGATTCCAGTCAAAATTCTTGGACACTACAGATTCTGCAGATGTGAAACGAAGAGGCGGATTGAATCACACGCCTGCAAGTACAGCGGCGTGACGCCGCCGACGTCCTCCTGCTCAAGTCTGTTCGGCACATCCAGGTGGCTTTGAGGAGTCGTAATTGTTCTTGTTGTCGTTGATGTCCTTAGACGACACTGAATTTAAATTAGGTTAAGGCAGAGAAAACTATACTTTCGACAAGTTTCTCGTGTGTGGTTCGCCGAGCTTCACGCATCCCGTGGGTACATGTATTTGTAGCTCTGCAGTGGCGATCACTGCACCGTACCAACAATCGATAGTAAGGTATGAATTCGTTTATCCACTACCGGCTTCAACAATTCGGACCTGGCGCATCCCAAGTGCGTCTACAGTTTCGCGCTGCACCTGTGCGAGTGTCATGCTATCTAAAAAAGTTGCGCATTCGCGCGGGCCAGCTCTCGATTTTGACAAGAGATGCAAGTAGAACATTTAGTTAGAGGTTTGTAAGGTCAGGGGGTTTAATAATTAGTTGCTTTGTATTTAAAGAAAGTGACGCCCGGGTACGAATCATGAAAAAAAAAAAAAAAAAAAGGAAAAAAGAATAAGTGTTGCTTGCTTTTGATTTTAGCTTATCAAACTGTAAAACAAACAGAGAAAATCGTAGCGAGTGTACTCGCACAGAAGCACCGTAGTGATGCAGTACTCCCTAGATTAATCTTAATGAAAATGTTCACTTTAGTCTCTGACTTTCAGTAGCAGATCCATTTTGGACCTTACTCTCTGTTTTCGTATTTCGCTAATTGGCATTGATACAGTTTTATTATGCGCGTTGCATGCTAGTGCATCAGAGAATAAAAAAAATGCTGAGCGGATAGCGCCAAACATGGCAATCAGCTTACGCGCGTATGTTGAACGATAGTTCTTATAGTTTAAGAACCGCCAACTCGAAGGAATCTCGAGGTACTAACTGCTCGTAATAATAATGAAGTAATAAATTAAAGACATAAATCGGTTTTGTCGATCTTTCTATTTAGTTTTGGTACCTCCAGTGGTCCAGATCCCAGCGAGACCAATCCTTTATCAGTAAATCGTTACCGGCATTTAGTGGAAGGCACCATTTTTTCTAAACATTCAAAATTGCGGGACTCTTCAATAATAAAACGTATGAGAGCACGGACAAGAGATGCTTAATGTTATTACATAATAGTATTAAGCATCTCCTGTCCGTGCTATCATACGTCTTTGGCAAGCAGGCAACGAAGGTGCTTGAGATCGGTCCTATAGATACAGCACTTGGGCATAATAATTGGTTTTTGAGATCTCATAGGGTACAATTGCTACAGGACTTGGGCTCTGCGTCATTCAACTATCGGTATTCACTTTTGTTACAATCTCGAGGGTATTTTAGCTTACAGAGTGGTAAGAGCTTCTCAACGAATGTCGCTCGAAGGAATATAAAATCCAAATGTTGCTTGATCGATTAAGATAAAATATTTAATAAACTAGTTAAGTAAAAATGTGAGAGAATATAAATCCAGCCAGGTATTTCGTCCGAATCCTTTGTGGATGGGTCAACGGCCACATTCCATATCGTTCTTTTGGTACATTATGGCCAACAAAACTAGAAGGCATCTTCTACGCATCAATCGATTTGAAAGCGTATCCATTATATACCCTATTCACTTCCATTGCGACACTTGATAGAATCTGGATCAAAATCCAGAGAAAACTTGAAAACTCGTAAACTAAGACTAATGTGAAGTCTCTAATGGTCATAAAAAAGTGCCGTTCATTGAGGATAAAGCGGCTTGTCGATCAACTTCGAGGTGCGATAAGGTTAGAGAGATCAACTCTGTCGTAGTGGTTTGGGGCACTCAGCTGCGCAGCAGTAGTATTTGAGCGAGAAGCTCCGACTGGTTAATGTCGACCCAACAAACATGAAAATCACTTAATCGAATTGGTATTAGATAACTTCACCGGGCAAAAAAGCTGGCAAAGACGCTCTATAATTACCAGTCACGTCTCGATTATCTTGGCGTGACTTAAATGTTCGGAAAAAGATACTTAAATACTATTAATATCTGGCTGATAGCTTTCAGCATCCCCCCAAAGTGTACAATAGAGTTGCTATAGGTCAGAAAGTGCGAAGCATCATCCATTTACCATTTGTTATGGTACATGGCTGCCACTTAACGAATCGGCCAAGTGTGAAAAAAAAAAAATCTATACAGTGGATTTCTAAGTGCCAGAAAAAAAGCATTATGCGCATAGTATATTTTAGGAAACGCTGCTGGTACTACTGTCTACTGCTGGTACCTTTCCCATTGGGTTCGTACTGAAATGACAGCAACAACTTCTGGCACTTCGCGTTTTCGTGGACGATAAAACTAAGAGCAACATGAACACAAGTTCACCAGATGATATGGTGTTAATACGTTTCCGTTCCATATATTTACGAAGTGATCATTTTATCCGCGATATCTCGAGTTAGGTCAGATGTTAGAGCTGAAGGAAACATGGGAAAGCTCTGACACGTGCTTCGGACTCAATTTTTCTGAAGACATCAACGCTTTTTTAAAATAATTTACAGGGGTGTTTCCATGGGCATTTATTATATTTTCATCCGTAATTCGGGTTCTATTAGAGAATAAGAAAGCGATGAACATGTTCACCGTGAATTGCTACATTCAGGAAAATTACGAAAAGAGCTCTGAAGGCCTGTCTCGGCGCGCTTTTGATTGGCACGACTGGAGGCAAATATGCAACTGACATTTTATTAGTCACACATCTGGGAAAACTGACCAATGAAACGACTAGATGTGGACCACACAACTAAATTTTGAGCATCTACCCCGTAAATATATGGAAATAAAACCCAAAGAGAAGTCCCCCCCCCCGCGTAAATATATCGAACGGAGAAGTAATTCTTGGTTTGCCAGATTGTGGCTTCACATGTTGATTGAACTGTCCTTGGCGTGCAGATAAATTACCACGGTATATGTATTATACCAGGATTCCTGACCCTGGAAAATCATACGTCTGAATCAACGTTTCTCGATTTCCGACTCTAAGATATTTGTGCCGTGTAGCTCATTCTCTCTCTCTCTCATCTCTAGCTGCATTGAATTGCTGTATCCGCCCACGAAGACATACGTGTAGCCGACAGCTAGCTCACCAAGCACCTGACTTTAGGTGTGAATACGTATTATTATAATACATGTTTTGTGTGGAATTCTTATCAATAATACCAATTACAATTGTATATTCAAAGGCTGATAGTATCCGAAGTGGGAGCAACACCAATGTTGTCGCATCAATCCTGTTCGCCGCTATCCAGCCGAAGTCGCCGAGTGGATCTCGAAGAGAACAAGCGCTTAAACCACCTTTTAATTCTCTGCAAAAGGCCGTTGTTGTAGTACTTGGTCACAGTAACTGTTTCACCTCCGGTGGCTGTGGACGACGTATGCCCGTTTACTAAAGCGTTTGAGCTAACGACTGAGTTGGCGCCTTGCCGTCGATTCTGTCCAGCGCGTTCTTCTTGTGTCAAAGCGAGTCCGGCCGATTTATCCTCATCAGCGAGTGTACAGTGATTGGCAATGAGAACAACCACAACAGCCAACACAAGTCGAATTAGGCGCATTATTCTCAAGAGCATAGCGTACTTTGTACGGTGGTGGAAATGGGTGGATGAAAAGCCTAAATGGCTCACATCGATTAGGGAGCAGTTTGCCATCTGCTTGGTCCAAGGATCCTGCACTGAGATTGGACACCCATAATTCCTGAAACATACGTTGCTGGCAGAGTGCTTGCGCATGCTGGGTTGTTGGCAGTGTCAATGACGCTTCACTTCATTTTTCTGAATGCAGTGCATTGTCATTGAACACTGCCATTAAAATACACATTATCGCGTGTGTGAGCTTCAGAAAAAACGAAAACAACGTCATGACTTCATACTTCATGTTGGGTTTTCAAAATCAATCGAATCTAGACTCTTTACGCCAAAAGTACACCAAACATTTATCTTTCAACGACAATTTCGTCATATCGCTATTGTCGAAGTCGAGTTTTAGTCGAGATACTGGTCGTAGTGCGCACATGGTGACCCCATAGTTTCTTCCACCAGCGTACAATTCTTTGGAAGAGTCCGTTGTTGTTGAAAATCGTTACCGTGATAGTGCCACCTCCATTGCCGTTACTAGAGGACACCACGGTTCCTCCTGCTCCAGCCCGACCTCCTTCACCAGACGTGACAGCACTCGTCGAGTGACTTGACGAGCTCGCTCTCTCCTCGCTGGACATCAGCTTCAGCCACCACCTCTTGATCCGTTGCCATAGCCCATTGTTGTTGTAGATCGTCACCGTCACAGTGCCGCCACCGTTGTTGTTGGTTGATACAACAGTATCTCCAGCTCCAACACGCCCTCCTTCAGCGGCTGCTTTGGCTCCAGCGCTAACTCGCTCTTCTTTCGACGCCTTGGCTTCATTGTCGATGTATTCAAACGACTGTAGATTGCGCGAGTAGGCAGGTACCGCAACAACAGTGCTGCTCGCGAGCAGAGCCACCAAGGCCAGCAAAATGAACTGGCTCAGATGCATCTCTAGAAAAGCGCGTGGTAATTCTGCAGACGCAAATTCTGAAGTGGCGTGTGAAGATGCGAAAGCAGCTCTCACAACCCTGGCTTAACCAGGGATGAACTCAATTCAAGGTCAAGCATATGGAGGTGCACAGCCAGCGAGATCCGGTTCTTCAAGAACTTCACAATTTTGACTGGAGAAACGGTCACCATCTCGCTACGATTGGCGAGGTTTTCGGCTACTTTTCATAAACATGTTCAACTTTGACAATACGTTGTAGCTCGGTTCATTGATGCAATATTCGCCTTGATTTTTTTTTAGTTTGTTGCGGAGACCAATGCAGAAATCAAAACCACAGCATCCGAGCCGAGGTTGATGGTGGTGCATTAAGTAAACCTACTCTGAAGTGAGCCCATAAAAAGCAGTGGAAAACCTAATTCAGCGGAATTTCCAAGAGCTGAAGAAGATTTTTTAAAGAAGATTTGAACAAACAGCAGTTTTTTTCGCATTGTCCCTCTCAGCAAGCAAAACTGTATTTTCCTATACGATTTCATTCCTTATACTAGTAAAACTTTGTTTGTTTTAAAGGTCCCGCAGACACTACACCAAATAAACTGCAGAAATAGAATTCAGAATGCACCTCACATACAGAAGGTACTACTGTACTGTGTTGCACTGTAGAAACAGCACGAAAACGTGAAAAGATAAATCAAAAATTGGGTCGTCGACTGGCAATACAGAGATAGATTCCCAACTTGAACCCTAGCTGAAGCACGATATGCCAGCTTCAGCTCACCTTGGGTGGCGATACCTATAGGATAATCATACCCAAGTAGAAAGCCAGGTAACCCTCCTCAAAGCCTGGGCGGCGGTACAAGTCATGTGCGCTCACACAACCGCATTCTGGCTGCGTAGTAGAATCAACTTCATACTGTACCATGGTCCACGACACAAAGTCTCTGTTGTTTACCACAACAACGCTATTTACATCAGCTGCTGATTCCTGTTATTGGTCGTACTATTGTGCAGCTACGCAACACCACGTGCTGGTATTTTCAGGGCTTGCTACACGGTACGGCTCGACAAGTATATTTTGCGGGCACTCGAATACCTGCAATAATCGGGCAGAAAATTACACGAATTTCATTTCCAGATACACGTACCAGTTATTTATTCCTACCCGATCCGTTCTGTCTCCAAGGTGCTTATAGTATTCCTGACAAACGTCAGCCTGCGCATTCTGGAGAACTGGGTCAAATTTATTGTACCAAGAGTTGAACGCCGCCGATAGTTTTGTTCAATCTACTGCCGAAGAAAACGAGTTGAGCTAGAAGACTGCCGGTGAAAAATCTTCTTTAGCCACCTCTTGAATCTCTGGATAAGGCCATTATTCCAATATTTTGTGATAGTGACTGTTCCGCCTGACGTCACAGTCGACGGTGTTATTCCAGTGACACCTGCACCTGTACGACCTCCTTCTCCACCCGCTGAGACTGCTGCGTTGTAAGACCGTTCTTCCTTGGTCGCCTCAGTGTCTGGAGCGAACAAGAAACGACGGAGGCTATCGACTATCGAGGTGGAGCTGGTTCTTGTGGATATCTTGTTGTTGGTAGTCTGCACTGCGCCGCAACTGACGAGCAGGACGACCATGACCACAAGCACGACTTGGACTAGACGCATTGCTGTTGAGCGCGGAGCCAATAGGTAGATCCTCGACGAACGCAAATTCTGAAGTGACGTGTGAGATCGTTTTGCTAGCTGTGCATGTTGGTCAAGCGCCAATATTAGGTTAGGTACGGATCTGGTCGCGATACAGACTGTGCACGAGCACATCAACGGGATACAAATCCACCGTCTCAAGTCGAGGCTCTCGTGGCTAATTTTCAACAGGGGCGGGACGATGGAGTGGTTGAATCCATTTTGGCTGGTACGTCAGGATCGCAGCTGTAGTCACTAGTGTCCTAACTACTGCCTCGCTTATCAATCCACCCTTTATTCCATTCTAGTCAGCAAATCCAGCACACGACAGTTACATCCGGACACAAGCAAACGAATCTGATTTATCACTTTCCAGAGTATCCGTGTCTGTGGAGGAGCAACTCAAATAAGCAGAGGCAGTGTGAGAGCTCTGAAATCGGTGGATCTGCAGACAGTCATGGCAATTGTTACTATTTGCTATAATAAATGTTATACCATTTGTCTTCAGAGAATCTTTGTGGTGTTCTCGCGCTTAACTTTAAAAAAACATCCGCTTGAACTAACCGGAATTTACGGCTTTGTTTTGTAACCGATCGATTTTTGCAACCGGAAGTACGAAAAAGCCAAGAGCAGGACCAAAACACAACAAATTGACCCCAACCTAATGTCTCACTCAAAACATTTCTTTACTTATGATAATGTAAGCAAAGGGACAGTTGTTAGCGAGTGCAAGGGCCACTTTTACATGTACTTTTTTTTTCGATTTCAGTCGATTTTACGGTTTTGACTTGAAAAGTACTTTTACACCGGTTGCAGGAAAGCTGTAAATTCCAGTACAGTGGACTGTCGTACAACTGTGATTATCATCACTTGTTCTTCCACAAGAAAGTACGCGATGTGACTCCTATCGGGAGGCCCTATTATTTCATGATAGTGGCTGGAGTGCCCAACTGAGGTCGTCCAATCGTAGACCAGATCCTTTCCCAAACCCATCGATCTATCCGTCCGGCGTATAACGTATAGTGTATACACCACTGCCCCTTCGCGATTCAAAAATCAGCGGCGGCGGGATCCGAGCAGGGGAGAATGGATCGCGACCTTCGCGCAGGGGCAACACGGGAGGTGCGCGTAACGAGCTTGACGCGCCCTGGAGCACGTGACCTACGCACCAAGGCCGTCGTCCGATCACAAGCGTCTCTTAGCGACGAAGCCAGCGAAGACTTGGGTGTGCAGTCGGTCAGTAGCAACGACGAATAATGGGTAGGGTCGGCATCAGATGCCTCTAGTTCGGTGAGCCGTGGGGGATGGTCTACGCAAGTCCGCTCGGAGACGTCGTCTCCACCTCGGAACACAGCAGATGATTCAAGCGATGGATCGGACGGGGTCGTAGCTGTGCCACCCCGTAGAATGGGGTTCGAGTCGTGGAGCGACCTTGAGGTGTTCCTGAAGCAGTATGAAGCTGAGACTTACCAGGTACGAAATTCTCACTCACTTGATACTGCTATAACAACGACAGCATATCAACTTGTCTCTTTGTACTCATTTCGCTACTATGTAGAACTTTCGCGTCCGGAAAAACAACAAGGTTGCTGACAGGAACAAAAAGATTTTAGCGTTTGGTTCTAAAGCGCCGTTGGTACCAGAAGTATCGTATCACTACCCAAGGACGTTCATTTGTACACGCGGGAGAAAGTACAAACCTAAAGTCAAAGGCAAGAGGAAGAGACAACATTCTAGGTCTCTACAGTGTAGTGCACAGGTGAGGATCAATCTGACTTGGTGGCATTTGGTCATAGTTGGTTTCAGTTGGTTCGAGTTGGGTTAGTTAGATTCAGTTGAGTTTTGATTGGGCAGACTCAATATCTCTGTTGTTGTAGATCCATGCCTGCGTGCAAGTGGTGGATCCTTCCGGTTTGAAGTTTGCTTTGAAGCTCACGTCGGTGCAATTGGAACACAATCATCCGTTAGCGAAGCACACGTATAACCTATACCCGCAGACGAGAATGGCGTACGAACCGGATGTGCTTGCTATGGTGGACGAGCTCCGAAAGGTTGGGGCCAAGAAGAAGATTATATTAGCGTATATCCACGACCACTCCGTGTGCAAGCCAACGAGGAAAGATGTCCACAACCTCGTCGACAAGCTCAAGAAAGAAGCTCATTCAGCTCCGACTAGGGCGAAGAGGCTGAAACGATGGATGATCGAGTTCACAGAGGAACCAGGCAACATTGGTCGCATCTTTGTCGATAAAGTGCAAGACAAGTTATGTTATCTCTGCTTTTGCTGTCGTTAAATTGGGAACACTTTCACTAACTCTGACATTACACTAGTCTATCCCCACATGCATTACCCTGCAGACAAAACACATGCGTGATCTGTTCGATCATTTTCCTGGGGTCCTGATGATTGACCCATGGCGCTAACGCATCAAAGTACAAGGTCTTCTCTATCATGGCCCACGACGCTTTTTGGCAAAGGCCAATTTGTACAGCATGCTGTGGTTCAAAACGAACGCGGGCCGACTCTATTGACGGTTCTGGAGGAGTTCAAGCGCAACAATCCCGCGTGGGCATCAAATGCATCCTGGTCGACAAAGACTTTACTGAGATGAAGGTACTGAAGCTGGCCTTTCCAGAAGCAGTTGTGTTTCTTTGCCAGTTTCACGTCCTGAAGTATCTGCGCGAGGAAAATGCCTCATCGGAATATGGTTTCACGTCTTGGCAGAAGCAGCAATTGCAGGGAATCGTGAATCTTTTGGTTTACGCAAGGACAAAGCGTGAATTCGATCGATACCGAACGTACATGCGATACGTAATGGCTGTTGGACGTGGAAGTGTGGAGCGTACCAATACGAGGAGACCACGTCAGTTGGGTGTTGGTCTTGCTGAGTTGGGCGGAGGTGTTCCGACGCGGGAGAAGATGTCGAGGAGCCTGCTCATCCTTTTGAAGCATACTTCTCAAAAACTTGGGATTTTTGCCGATTTATGTGGTGTTTCTTTGAACGTCAAAATGCTGTGACGCTGGGAAAGAATACGAACAACCGTATTGAAGCCTCATGGAGAAAACTGACAGAGCTTGTGAACGGATTCATGGGTGTGGATGAATGCATAGCTGCTATCATGTGTCACCAAGCTCAAGCAGAGAGAGAATACATGGAAGCGCTGTACAGTCTTTCCGTCGTGCATAATCCCAAGTATGATCGAGAGATGCAATTTCTATCCAACATGGTAAGCGAGCATGCGTGTGAGCCCATTTATGACCAGTACGACTACGCTCTCATGCGCGCAAACTTCAGCTTCTATGAGCCTGTACCCGACATTGTTTTGATCCAGAACGTCTGTGATGAAGGAAATGCACTCGACGAGCCTCGGTCAGAATACTCTGTTACTAAACGAAACTGGTCATGTTCTTGTCTGTTCATGACATCGCGGCTGTTTCCCTGTTGCCACGTATTTGTTTGTCGCAAGGCTCTGATCTGTGATAATATCATTCAACGCTGCTGCTGAATCCAAGCTGGCTGTTGGCGTCATTACGGTCAGACAGTGAAATCGACATGATTACGAGTGAACCGTTTGCTGTTGGGCATGGTTTGAAGGAATCGAGCACTGTTTGGGACAGTAATCGCAAGTTTCGTTAAGCCAACATTGTCGCGTCCACAATTAGTGAGCACATGAGTGGATTGGGTATGCCTGAGTACAAGTTGGCAATGAAAACACTGCGCAACGTCACCACGCTTTTCAAGCACGGTGAATTTAGCGTTGCAGCTCTCACTGCTGATTGTGCCCCCGATGCCCGCCGGTGTAGCTTCAGCTGATGGAATCAGTGTGGAGCTGTCAACCATCAATGAGCATTCCGCCGAAACAGACGCTAACACAACACTCGCGCCATCTACAGCGCGCAGTGAGGAGAATATGAAGCATTTTGATTCGCTCCAGGTTGAGTTTGGTAGTAGCGATGAATCTCAGTTGGACCCCGAGTCTCGCTCGTTGGACCCCGAGTTGGTCCAGTCAGCCACCGAGATGGGCACGGAGTCAACAGAGTTGGATAACTCTGCGGTTGAGAACGATCGACGGGCGAGAGCAGTCGACCTGGATGATGGTAAAGGCGAGTTCGAGCTTCAGAGTTCACCAAAAGCAAAAGGACGACCTAAACAGAAGCCGAAGGCTGTAAAAGCTAAACGGAATATGAACATTGCAATGGTGCAAGAAGACATCGTAATGAATGAAAAACAACTGAGTCTACTTTCAGTGTTCGAGCTTCTCGCGGACGATGCCACATTTAATTCGGCCCAAGAAAATATACTTCAGTTCAAACTCTTCATCTTCGCGAAGAAACCGAAGCCCCCAATTGCGCACGAAATCATGAAGTTGCCCACTTTGAAACCATTGGCGCGACCCGATGAAATCGTTAGAATTTTTCCGATGGACCTGAGTAAGAAGTGTGGAGTCGAAGTGACGGCTTATCAACGAAATAACAATGATGTTCGCGAGCTGGATATCGCTCTCGAAATAGTAGGACTTGGAATATTCGCCAACTCAATTATCAAGTGCATGAGAAAGTGACACATTGCAGCTGCAGCATTTCGAAAGATCATCAGCGCACTGGCATGGATTGAAAAGGTGTATCTTTCCAGCTACGACAACACTAGCGATTTCGTTGAAGCAGACCCTCCGATGCCGTCCACGTTGAAGGAGATTGAGGTTTTGACTCCGCAGGTATGCATCACTGTATAATGGTACGCATGATGTAACACTTACAAGATATATGGGCAGGTTGATGTGTTAGCTCTGGCAGGAAAAGAAGTGATAACCGACGAGGTAATGCACAAGATATTGACCAAGCTGCTTGGTTTTAAGCCCAATATTGCCATTTTTGACTCGTCAACTCTGGGGATCGTCGTGGACGGGAGCGTGAGCACCTCCAACGAAATCATCAGAGAGGCATTGGCTGGGGTTACTAATGAGAAGGTTTTGATCCCAGTGAATTGTAACGGCAACCAATGGTGCGCGATCATAATGTACCTTGCCGGTGGAGTCGTCCATGTGTATGATTCAAGCTCTTCTTCGTACCTCGTCAGTGTTCGTGCTGTGGCGCAGAAGATTGTACTGCTGCCTCCACATGTACAAAAAAAACAATTCGAGTGCGAACATTTGAGGCGGGACTCGGAGTTCAGAGTGACAGCTACAACTGCGGAATCTACGACTTGATTGCTTTTGAGACGTTTGCGGCGCGGAACCACTGGGACACTTGGACAAGAGGACGTTGCAGTGTCTGCGGTACCGTTATCTCCGTTTGTGTAAATGGCTGTAGCCCACAACGAAGCTCTACTGCTAACCAATAATGCATCTGGTTTCTTGAAGTTCACAGTTTTCGTTAAGCATTGAAATCATACTTCTTGATTGTTTTGTGCCCAAGTGAACTACACACTAAGGTACATGTAAGCCTCATGGTGCATGTAGTCAAGTGTTACGAGTCCAAATGCTTTGTTGCACGACGCGACAAGGGCCAGCAACGCAATCCGGTTATACGTATACTAACGGGAATGCCTCGATTTGGTTGGGCATCATTTGGGCCTCGTTTGGGTTCCGATTGGGCGCGTTTGGGTACCAGTTGGGGGCAAATGCCTCGTCACATAATTGCTCAGTTGGGCACGTGCCTTATTTTATACAGAACTTCGTTCGTTGAGTATAGGGGGTCGTCTGACACACTTTCACAGGTAAACTTGGAAAAACAGCTGGATGAAATGTACTGAAATTTAGTTGAGTAGTGTCAATATCTCCCCTCTCTCCGATAGAATCCCGGCGTACTTCCAGCAATTCTGAATCGTTTTCGGCGGGGTTGCCCACGCCGCGAGCTGCGAGTTGCTCAGTTTGTCCTTGAATCTTCTTTGCATGCTTGCACATAGCGATCTTTTGCTCGAGGCTGAGGCGAATTCAACGTGGAGTTGCTGAGTTCCTTATTCATCAAAATTCAGTGCATTCTAGTGATTGGTCAATAGTACCTCCAATCCGTGTGAACAGATATGAAGGGGTATACAAAATCCAGGCTACGCTTAACGAGGTAACAGGTTGCTCGCTCTCAGCCACACCAGTACAGTAATGTATTGTGTTATTGCCACGCCTGGGAAGCGAACTCTGAATTGTCAGATGCGGATTTTTTTTTTCAAGCTCATTTTCGTACCATATCAAAATCTGATTCATGTTGTCAGAGCCAACTGGTTATAGACTGTTCCTACTTAGTTTTTATTGAGGGTTACCGGTTCCTGATGGTATATACCGGTTCCCGAACCTGTCCAACACGATCCCGCGATGATTATGGTACGTTGATTACGCCACTAGTCATTAGACGAGTAGGATGATTGGACGAGTGCAG